TTCTTTTTCCCTCTACATCACAGGCAGATTTCCAAGGGCAACTAGCTCCTCTTGTTTGTATCCTGAAGCTCACCCACAAGTCAGGAGAAGTTTATAAAGCCTTGCAGTTAAGATTTATCACCAGAGGTTTAGTCTGTGCAGCTCTGAACCCATGGCATTATTTTCTGTTTAGGTCATTGGTCTAAATCCATATCTGTTTACTGGTTGCTTTTTCAAATATTTATTTTTTTGATTCCTACACTCTCCATGGCCTCCTGTCTTGAACTGTTGAGATTAATAGTTGCTCATAGTAAAAAAGGGAAAATATCTGCAAGCATATTTTTAGCCACTTGAATCATGTTATATATGTTATACGAGCCATACTACTTCTCCACTCCTGTTGGACACTTCCCAGCACTGTTGTCTGTCCTCTGTTCAACTATTCTCAATCTGTATTCTCAAAGGCAGACAGGCCTACATAATGGTGTCACATGCTGAACTGACACCACAGAAGTATTACTCTAAATGTCTTTAATACTGGGCAGTGCAGCCAGCCCCTGCCCTTGCCATGCAGGCAGCCCTGCGGACAGCAGAGCCCCTCACCAAGGGCTGCCTGGGTCTGGGTGACGTAGGCTGGGTCTAATATCAAAATTAGTAGACATTGATCTTAATGTGATAATCTCAGCACTAGTCTAGCACTTTTCTTCAAAGCTTGGTTTGGAGTAGTCTCTAAGGAAAGTTCTATAATCTGCAGAATTCTTTCCACCTACACTGATGGGGATAGTACTTCGGCTATGAAAACTGTTGCAGTCTGCTTCACAACAACCTGCACCTGCACCTGTCCTGGTCTGTTTGCTGCCATCATTTTACCCTCACATTATTTTTCTTGCAGCTCCACCTCCCTACCACAATTAAGCAGTATATATCTGTCCCCTTGTGGCCATATGCCTGACACAGGCTTGTTACTTCAAAGGATCCCTTTAGGTTGACCAAAACCTTTCTGCTCTTTCTTCCACCCACAGATGCATGTACTGACTGCCTTCACCCCAGCAGCTCCAGAAAATTACCTAAAAAGGATATGAAACCTCTTCAAGTGTAGTCTAAAAGATACTGCAGCAGAGCAAGAGTGTGGACGGATTTCTCCAGCAACCCTGCACAAACCGGCTGACACCACAGTCCTTGCAAGGATGGACTTGAAAACCTTGACAGATGAAGAACAGGGCTGCCCACACAGATTTTACTGCAGGTAAGTGATCTGTGAAAGATCAAGGTGAGAAAGATATTGTGAATGACAGCAAATCTAATGGAGCATGTGGCAACTTTGAAAGAAAATGTCCTCAGAGAAAGGTCTGAGAGTTGTTTGCTAGTACTGTATTTCTGCCTGTCCTTTGGGATGCCTGTCTCTGATCTTCTCTAAGGTCAAGAAGCCAGTCAGAGTGGCTGCCCATATCAATTCATACTGCTACTTTATAATTTGTACTGTATATTTTTACATTGTTACTGTGGTATGAAGGATACACAGAAGAAATGCTTTGAAATGCTTAGTGAAATAGTCTTAGTGCTTCTTCCTTCATGCAGCTTTAGCCCAAGAAGAACCTGGCCGTCAACCAAAGCACAGGTTACAGACTGCAGACACTCACTGTTGAGACCAGAGGTGCCTCTTTGCTCTGCCCAGATTTACAGCCCCATTTGCAAGGCTCTCTCTAACGCCCTGCCACAGCTCGCAGAGCCGCTGTGGTTGTGCTCTTCCTCACAGCATGAAAACATGACCAACAGGGAAAGGGCTGAGTCAGCTCTGCTGGCATGTTGCTGCCTCCACAGCAACACTGAGGAAGGTCTTCCAGCATCCCACAGCTACCATGGTGTATTTGTTTTGTAATCAGAGCTCCCAGCATGTGGCCTGAGGAGCGGTACAGCATCCCAGCTGGCCCAGGGTCACGGCTGAGGAGAGGACTTGGCAGCCGATGGGGAGACAGACAGCACGCACAAGTGTGAGCACACCCAGCCCAGGCCACCCAGACCCAGGCAGCCCTTGGGAAGGGGCTCTGCTGCCCGCAGGGCTGCCTGCCTGGCACAGGCAGGGGCTGACTGCACTGCCCAGCAGGAACAATTGCCCCTAGCATCCTGATTTTGGAAGGGGAAACTAAGCTCTGATCCTCTGACTAGAGGATCAGCGCCCCAAAGAGCATTTGTCACTACTAATACATGGTAACAGAAATATTTTGTGGGTCAAGGTTCTTTTTTTCAGATTAAATTGCACTCATTGGCCTATTTTAGTATTAATAGAAAATTTAATGTTTTGTTTATAACCAAGCACTTGTCCTCCCCCCAACACATTAACATTCCATTACAAAAAAAAAAAAAAAAAGCCCCAAGCACTTTATAAAAACACAAATTTATAACAAAAATTGTAAAAAGTACACATGCCACAAGGCCAAAATCTATTCAGTTCCCAGCTTGGTGAGACTTCCTGCTCTCCAAAAGCCATCCGACACTTGGTTTCTCTAGTTGGGACCAATTTGAAGCTAACTGTTTGGAGCCCACTTGCTGGCAATGCAATCTTCTTTGTCTTGTTTCTCCTACTTATCCAAAGTAAGTAGTGACAGGAAAAAAAAATTAAAAAAAAAATACCTCAACTGTTTTATTTATTTCCTTCTGAAAATAAGTGTTCTTCTTTGTCTCAGAGCTCATTAGCTGACTTTAAAATTGTCACCTCTTTTATTCAACAAACTGTTGTGGTTTGTAGATTTTTCATTTCTGACTCAGTTATTCCTCACTAATTATGAGTGCAGTTTAATAAACTCATCCTCCTTTTCTTCCAGAAGAAAAAGCATTGTCGTTGAGGATTCTTACTTGTTTTGACAAAAGAAAAATAATCTGAAAATCTTCCATTTGAAAAGGATTACCTTTGAACATTCTCTTCTGGCAAGCTATCATTTTTTTATTTTCCAGATAGTTAACTAATTTTATGTGCTTCAGTAGTATCAGATATTCCTTTTCTCTAATTTCATAGAGAATTTCACATCATTTTGCTCCATTCCTCACCTTTCTCTTTTAGATGGTCAAGAGAAATGGTCAGCATCTGTAGTCTTAGGAAATACTTCTATTTCATATGAAGAATTTGGGAGAATACATTACTTTTTCTCTAGAAATATAACTGATTTCTCCACCTGCCTTTTGTTTAATTTAAAATCTATTATGACTTGGGTCACCCATATTTACCCTCTCCTGCAGCATCATAATGTGCAAAATAATCCAGTAACTGAGCAGGCCCTAGGAAAATGTGGATGATGCACACATCCGTAGAAAGAAAATGTGAAAAAGCAAGCAAACTTCTTCATATAGTAATAATAAACTCTACAGCAACATAAGTCAAGGAGTAATTTAATGTGATATGTCTTTATGCTTCCTAATTCTAATTCAGCAAAGTGCTTGAATACTTTTGCGCTTTACTTCTTCAAGAAATCATGGTTCTACTACATTAATGTTCTCATTCGTGGTTCTACTGCATTGCAAAGAATGTATTATCAACAACATGATGCATAGGCAAAAATTCAGTTGCATGTATTTTAATACACTCATAACATTGTAACACTCACTTTTCTATTTGCTTTGTGATTTTATTATTACAATGTTTATGGCATGTAAATTGTTTCATTTCAATATCTACGATTGCAACATTTTAATTTGTTGAATTTTGCCTTAACACTTAGTACTGAATTTATCTTAATTGGAGTTGGTTCAGCTGTTGATTGGAGAAAAAAATGCAGCCCTGTAACTGCGCTGTTCTGTAACACATTCTGTTGATAAATCAAGAATTCTTTACCACAATAAAAGTCATTATGAACAGACAGCAAACTCTTAATCCTACACCTTGTATTAATATGAACAAACCCAATAAAAATAATCTAGTGGAAGAGGGGTGTCTGTTGACACAACCTTAATCCACACTTTAATGTTTCTATCGTACCTGTCTTGCGTTCAATGCATCTTGAAACATTTGAAACAAATGCTGAAAACATTCATGAGCCTGTTCTCATCTTTTTTCCAAAAGAGTAATTTCAATGCTGTATGAAACAAACCTTAAAAAAAGATTGCAAGTCAGTTTAAACTTTGTTCAGGGGTTACTTAAATTACATGGGTCAAAAATCACCTAAACTTTTTTCGCATCAAATTACTTCTTTACTTTTTTTTTATTTATTTATTTGCTTTGGCTAAACGAAGGAAGATGTCAGTACTCTTCCAAAAAGAAAACAAATACAGGGAATATTAATAGTAAGATAATAGGTCATATTCCTTTATGAACATGATGAGCATTAATACTTTGGAAAATACAGATCCACAGTATAAATAATAATTAAAAAAAAAAGGCATTAGAAAACTCTTAATTCTACTTTCTGTTGGCTTAACACACAAGCCTGTAATCAAGCATCACAACCAACTTTATGTGGCACAGGCTCACCTTGAGCTCTGTGTGCAGTTTTGGGCATCACAGTATAAAAGACATTAAGCTGTTAGAGAATGTCGCTTTAAAGGAAGGCAACAAGGATGGTGAAGGGCCTTGAGGGGAAACCATATGAGGGGCAGCTGAGGTCACTTGGTCTGTTCAGGCTGGAGGAGAGTGAGGGGAGACCTCATTGCAGTCTACAACTTCCTTGTGAAGGGAAGAGTAGGGAACCAATCTCTTCACTCTTGTGACAGGACTCATGGGAATGGCACGAAGTTGTTTCGAGGGAGGTTTAGGTTGGATATTAGGAAAAGGTTTGTCACCCAGAGGGTGGTTGGGCATCTGAACAGGCTCAGATACTTTACTTGCAATTTGTTGTGCCAAGTTTAAGTCTATATAATTTAATGTTAGCTTTTTTCTTTGTTCCATTTATTAAACTTTACCTTAAAAAAAAGAATCACAGAATCATAGAACAGTTTGTGTTGGGAGGGACCTTAAGGATCATCTATTTCCAACTCCTCTGCCATGGGCAGGGACACCTTCCACTAGACCAGGTTCCTCAAAGCCCCGTCCAGCTTGGCCTTCAACACTTCCAGGGATGGGACATTCACAGCTTCTCTGAGCAACTTGTTCCAGTGCTTCATCACCCTCATAGAAAAGAATCTCTTCCTATCATCTAATCTAAACCTGCTCTCTTTCAGTTTGAAGCCATTCCCTCCAAAACAACGTTACATGATAAAACAAGAAATGAAATTGTTTTTAACCCAGGTAGCCACAGGAGCACAAGAAAATATTATTTAGTTTATCTCCCCAAATGATTGATTTATTTTACAAACAAGTCATTGAGAAATGATTCTTCAGAGGCAAGTGAAATAAAAGCATGCTTTGAGTCTGTAGCCAGATACCAAAATTACCACTCCTATTTGAAAAAGTGTAATTTTTCCTAAAATAGTGTGTTCAGTTTTACTGAGTGGGTTATCATTTGCTGAGATACTGTAGAAAGCCCACAAATGGTCAGACATAAATAGATTAGTCTTCTTTATTGTTCTACACATCCATACAAAACATATAATGGGAAGAAAAAACTAAAAACACAGAATGAAGTTGAGTGTGCTATGAAAACAGATTTACTGTTCATACTTCTTTTAAAAAATCATAAAGTTTAATAACACTCAGAAAAGGTGATAGAAAGCAGTTTTTATGATTAAGAGGTAGTTCTGTACACCTCACCATTGCTTCTCTGAAAATAAAGACTTTAGTAATTCACATATTTTCTGTAATGGACAAGCATTTTACAATTATAAAATTTCCTTAACTCAGAACAATCACCATTTATTTGGCCTGTGGATTAATTGCCCAAGGAATACAGCAGCTAGAAGAAAAATTTTCAAGGCATCATGACCAAGGTCACCATTCAATTTTACCAAATATATCTATATCAGGCACGTGACAAGAGCCTGTGAAAAAGCCTTTGCTGCAAAACTTCTTGTTTTGGCACAAGCGCAGACAAAGGAAAACAACAGAAGTAAGAAAAAAAAAATCCCGTGTTCAAAAATTGAGATAATCCTCTAACTTCCAGATAACTATCTTGAAGCTAAAATCTTTATGTGTAAAAACACAGAGAGGTCCCATTTGTCAAGAGAAACAGCAGCATGACAACCCCTGCTTTATTTTATCCTTGACACCCAGAGGCAAATCAGAAGGAATGAGACTAAAGTGGACATTCACTAACTTCTCAAGTGCTTCCCAAAACTGTGAACTGACCTTGGGTGGCTCATGACTTCAGTGCCTCTGCAATGAAACGAGAGGGTATCGTTGATCATAACTGAAGGGCCTATCATTTTCATAACTGAAGCATTGTGCTGCCCAGAGATTTTCTCTTTGCCATCTCTAGGCTCCTGGCTTTACTCTATCTATTTGGTTCAGTCTCCCTATTGAAATTCTAAAAATCAGCCCTAGTCGGTGTCTGTAGAGTAGGGAATAGAAATAAGTATCTCTTTTCTGTGGATGTGTAGCAGGTAAGGCCTTAAGCAAAAAGAAAATTTTACTTTGTTCTGTCTCCTTTCAGTGAAGAAGCTGTACATTTCTTTGCTGCTCCTCTGGTGCCCTTGCCACGTCTTTGAGGCAGACACAGGGGAAGCAGTGGTGCTGATAAGAGTGAATCAACTCATCAAGACATGTAATGATTTCATAGTCAGGAAGAGCCAGGCTGGCAATGTTGAGGCCCAGCATCCGTGAGACCACCTCTCGGAAATCTGCCAGCTGCAAGAGTAAACAGAAAGGAATAAATCAAATAGCAAGCAGAGGAGATGTCTGGGAACACACATACATATTTGCATACATGCAAACACAAGCATTTGTATTTTTGGTGCAAAATATAGGCATTTCTGCTGTTGCTCAATACAAAGAGCAGAGGTGGCTGCAAAAAGCCACTTAGGGGCATACGTCAAGTCACAAAACACATAAACAGCCAAGATGTTAAGTATCTCAAACAAAAAGCACAGTTTCAAGTGTTTTTAGTATCTTTCACAGGCATATCTTCCCTGCTAACTCAACTGCAAAAACTGAGGAAAACACAGGTAGAGGAGCTGTACTTGACTCAGATGACCAGAAGCTATACAGACGGCTGCAAACTCTGATGGGCACAACCCAGAGGACAGGCTAAGATCCTGGTCCTTGACCACTGTTTGCCACTGCTTCTCTCCATCCTGCACTTTCTTGTGGAAACCACAGCAGAAAGGAAGAAGTTAGAAGAAAGGTGGAAGTTTGGCACATTCCTTGGTCTAACTTTGATTTGAATCAAGATACAGCCCAAATTCAAGATGCAGCTTGGGAAATGCTTGTTTTTCTTCTCTGCATAGTTGCTGAAAATATATCATAGGAATTTGACAAAGTAATTCAAGACACCAACTTTCTGCAGTTCCAAATGGACAGACATCCACAACTAATAGTCATCACTAGTGACCCCACCAGTAACTAGATTAAAAACTTAAGGTCAGTTGAACATTAATGCTGATTTGCTCTTCTCAACTCTTAATATGGATGATTACAAGTCAAACTGCAATGCCTCTTCAATGGACAATGCATTACACAGTCAAAATCATAAATGCCTTAATACTCCTTATCATCAGCACACAAAACAGGGAAATGTTCCTATTTGAGGAAATATTCTTGTCTTGCTATCTATTTGAAGGCCAAGATCCCCATTCCTAAACATGAAAGTGACTGAAAATGTCATAGAATCATCAAAATCATCAAGAAACTGGACTCATGCTCTGGTGTGGCATCCTCCTCACTCCACATTAAGGAGGAGATAGACACACTCTTGAAATATGTGTCCAACCCCAATAGTACTGTGCAGAATTCTAAAGCAGTTATACAACACCTGTGAGGAAAGGTTTTTGAAGCCTTTCGTGAAAACAAGGTCTCAGTTCCAAGACTTTACCAAAGACAGTTTGGTTCATCCCAGTACAAACCCTGAGGAGCTGCCATCAGTTCAGAAACACAAAAAGGAAACCACAACAGTCTAGGACTGGTGTCTGGAGTCCTCAGCACAAGACAGACATGGACCTGTTAGAGTGAGTCCAGAGGAGGGCCACAAAGATGATCAGAGGGCTGAAGCACCTCCGCTATGAAGTCAGGCTGGAAGAGTTGGGGTTGGTCAGCCTGGAGAAGAGAAGGCTCCAGCGAGACCTCATTGCAGCCTTCCAGTACTTAAAGGGGACTTATAAAAAAAGAGTGAGAGTGACTATTTACACAAGCATGTAGGATAGGAAAAGGGGAAATGGTTTTAAACTAAAACAGGAAGATTTAGATTGGAATGTTCGGAAGAAATTCTTTACTCAGAGGGTAGTGAGGTACTGGAACAGGTTGACTAGAGAAGTTGTGCATCCCCATCCCTAGGAGTGTTCCAGGCCAGGTTGGATGGGGCTTTGAGGAACCTGATCTAGTGGAAAGTGTCACTGCCCATGGTGGGGGAGTTAGAACCAGACGATCTTTAAGGTCCCCTCCAACACAGACCATTCTATGATTTTACAATTTGAGAATTCAGTCCCAGCTGTCTGTATTACCAAGACAGTGCAATGTCTTCAATGAAATGTTGGAACAATGTTAACACCAAAAACCCCTTAAGTTCCCAGATATTATCTTCAAAACCAATTCCGGAGATCACTGATGCTGGGCTCTGGCAGTGTGCTAAGCAAGTACCTTATAACAGAAGCTAAAGATATTTTTAAACATCTGGATCACAGACAGGATGAGCAGCCAGCAAAGCTGGAATTTGTTTGATCCAGCCTTTGGACTAAGTACACTCCTGAAAGAACCTATACAGCAAACCCAACTGATCTTTCATGAGTACATTAGGGTCTGCACTTTGCACTAAATTTCTTGCTCTCATATCTTTGCTGCTGCAAGCTGTTCAACTTAATTACAGCAACTGTGAGTAAACCAAATTGTATTACAACCATGTAACTAATGTAATAATCAAATCAAATTTGATGCACTGACACTGATTATTGATCTGGCAGGATTTGGCCAAAGGGAATAGATACAAAGTAAAACATTTACACAATCACCTCACCCTTTATTTCTGATGGGAAAAGCAGGTCATACCTATATTGAATGGACAGTAAACACATCAAGAATTCAATGACTTTCATCAGCAAATAACCTAAAGTGGAAAGCACAGAGAGCCCTTAAAGAAAGCATGTAAGCCATTCATTTATGTGAATTTTTAGACAGAAAGACTTTTTTATTATATTGTGGCATATAAAGTACAGTGCAGATAAAGTTGTAGTTCATTGAAAAGGCAGAAAAAGGGTTGATGACAAAGAAATATTCTACATAAAATGACAGAGAGAAGCATTGCTCTTGGCTGCAACAAAGGTATTAAAAACACAGCAGCTGTGCTGAAATACTAGAATCTAACAGAAGAACCACCTCTCTATTTAAGGTTTTCTTCAGTAAAATTCCTAAGATAATCACAATTTGAAATAAACGAGAGAAATAAGAAAAGATAAACATCACTCAAGACCCAAACCCAAAGTTATGCTACAGCAATGAGCACTCCTGCTAAATTTTCTTTGCACCTTCCATTCAGTGAGTAAAATTATCTGAAATAAAAAATCATGAAATTAATGCAATTTAGAGCATTAACCCAAGATACTGCAAGGCAGGGCTTTGGGGAAGTAAAAAGATTTCCAAGAAAAAAAGATGCCTAGGTTGTTGGTCTTCTCTCCATGTGAATAAAAAAATATTTTTCGAGACTAATTTTTTTAAATAACATTCTTAAATTTCATCCAGAGTCACTGTTAAGGCTGACATATGGCATAAAATTTTTAGCTGGAAAACCTAATATTCTAAGCAGTTGAAACAAAAAATTTAAAATTATAAATTTTTTACTTTGAAGAAGCATCTCATTAGCTTTCAACAATTATGCCATCTATAACATTGCTACAAAACATAATATGCAGGGCAATAACATACATGGTTCACAATTTTTTGAAATTAGAATGGAACACGTTTACTAATACATTTGCCACAAACTACTTACACCCTCCCCAAGGTAAATTACCACAGAACTTTTTCTGACCTAAACAACAAAGTTATATATCATAAATTGATCCAAAATAGTTACATTCAATATTAAGTTGGGGGGGTTGTGCGGTTGGGGTTTTTTCTTGTATTTTTCAACATCCTTTAAGTTTATGGCCTATACACAGTAATGCAGAACCATAGAATCATTTAGGTTGGAAAAGACTTTTAAGATTATCAAGTCCAATACTTAAGCTACATTGCCAAGTCCATCACTAAACCATGCCTACACATCTTTTAAATACCTCCAGGATTGGTGACTCAACCACTTCCCTGGGCAACTTATTCCAATGCCTGACTACCCTTTCAGGCAATAAATTTTTCCTAATATCCAATCTAAACCTTCCCAGCACAACCTGAAGCTGCTTCCTTTCATCCTATCCCTTAGCCTTGCTGAGTCTCACACAATTGGCAAGGAGAAAGTCCAAGAGACATGAATGAGAAATGAGAGGAAATGGATGAGAAGTTGGTAAGTTTTATGCCTAAGATATCTGGAAAAAGACTTATGTTAAAAGAGATCCCGTGATTTTAAAGCATTTTATTAGCTCTTTAAAAGGTTATATAATATTTTGTGATGAACAAAGTATTTATTGCCTGTATTTATTATTCTATTGCAAAACTTTGCCTCTCAGAATCACAACTGTCACTCTGACTCACAAGAGTGAGCTAAAATTTCCTTGTTTAATGATGTTCAGAACAATTTTAAGCACAGCTGGATAGCTGCTCCACATATACCACATTCTTATATTCTAAGGGACCGCTAGCACTTATCAAATACCTATACACCTACCTGTCTCTCTCTTTCTGCTAGTTCTGCAAGGGTTGTTTTAAGCACCTTCATTTCACTGGTAACTGCTTCTAATGTATTTTGATTTTTTTCTTTATCTTCAGTAGCTTTACGTTCCCTTAAAAGAAGTTCTGATTTGACAGATCTAAGTTGTTTCTCAGCTTTTTCTTTCATTCTTTCCAATTTGCCTTGAGACTTATTGAGTTCTTCTATTGTTCTGTTCTGCTCCAAAGTTTTGATCTGCAATAAGATAAATAAGCGTTAAATTTTTCATACTTTTTCATCTAATGTGAACAAATAAGCAATCACGAGTAAGCACTTTAGTGTGGGTTCTTATGGGTTCTTGATGAAATCACATGTAGACAGGAACAATTAAAATTTAGCATCTTGCCTGTTGTATGCAAGAAAAAAAGCCATTTTCCCCCCATATCTATACGAATAGATCTTCTGCATGTAATGTATGGGAAAAGAGAAGATTACAGCCACATCAACAGGAAAGAAAAGGATGCATATATCATATTTTCTTACACTACTCTGAAAATTTACATTGTGCTTTACAGACACTTCTTAGCATATCAATAAAAATTGCAAAATATACCAAGACATTTTAATATTATATTTGCTTTTGCCACCTAGATAGATTTGAGCAGTTCTCTATGAACACATTTATAAATGAACTCCAGCTGTATACAACTGGAATAGAAAAATGGCAAGAAGCGCAAACGTAACCTTTTAACTCACCTTAAGTTCATTGGTTTCAGACAGCTTGGCTTTGAGATCAGTATTCGTTTCCCTTGCCACATCGAGCTGCTTCTGTAACCTCTCTATCATCTTATGTAAATTTCTGACAGCAAGATTGGCCTCATCCCTTTCCACAGCTAAGGCAGTCCTGATTTGCTTCTCTTCTTCCAGCTGGGTTACTTTCTGCCGCAGAAGGTTCACGTGAAGCTCTTTGCTTTCAAGTTTTTCCTTCTGAGTCTTCAACTTGTTTTCCAAACACAAGGATATTTGAAAAAATATATGTGAATGACAGTGGTACTACACTGTCAGTAGTAGTTTTGCAAATTTAATCCCTGTGTTGCACATATAGCCTGAACTCCTTTTCCTCTCTTGAAAACTGTGTAAAGAAGTATCAGTATATATACACTAACTTGATACTCCTTATATTACCAATTCATTGTGCTTCTCCATCCCTGAATTTGTGCACTGCCTTTTAGAATGATTTTACACAGAGACTTCATCCTATTTGAACATAAATACTTGTGCATCACTCATAACATCTGAGATTGCCTGAAGTATAAGACACCAGTCAAATGCAAGATGCAAGAGAGATTCATTAAGGAGACAGTGGTTTCAGTGGTGGTAGTTTAAGGTGTTCCAGAAGGAGAAGCAACATACAGAAATAAGGAATCTTTCATCCACTGCTCCAATGCCAGGTCCAGCAGCTTAGTTTTTTAATTTTGCTGCTGAAGGAGCTACTTGTTTTCAGTTTATCTGAACTGAGCTGCCAGGCTTTACTCTGGAACATCTGAGGAGTATTGATATACATATACTTACTGCTAGAGACGCAGTTGCTTCATTAAAAAAAAAAAGAAGAAATACAGTACTGTTTTAAACCTTAAACAGACTCCAATTCTCAGCTCCTCACCAGTCTGATAAGCCTAAACTCTAAAGATTTCACTGTGTTATAACATGATGATGGAGGGATGTTTAACCAAATTTGAACAGATTTGGATTTGTTCCTGAAGGAAATATTGAATGAAGGAACAGTTTTTGTTGAAAACATTGAAATTCTTGGTGAAGTACAACCAACACCCTGCTAGTTTCTAGAGAAGTTTGTATTATATAGCCCTCTCCCCAGCAGATCCTTTCAGATTTAAATATTGATGCTAGTTGTTTACAGAAGAATGTTATAAATGTCTATTAAAAAGTAGACACAAACACATATCATGTGTTCAACCCACTGGTGGGTTTAGTTGTTTTAATATGCAGTCTGTTTGCACAGTTTGCAAACGTTTGCTATCTTCTTTTTATGAAATGGACATCTTTGAAATACGTTGTACATTTACAATCTGTTGCTTCTAGCAAATCACTACAGAAATATAGCCATAGTAATGTTTATCTTTGAAACAAATAGTAAAGGTATGTCGTTTTTGCATACCTTCCTTCTGAGGCTGTGTGCCACAGTCTTGTTTTCAACCACTGCATCACCTTCCAGTTTCACTAACTGCTCTACCCGGGCTAGAATCGCATCCATATTCATTTCAAATCCAAACTCTGCTGCTAGACTATCCAGCTTCATCTTCTCGTTCAGTTGCTCCAGAAATTTCAGATACTAAGATAAGGTGTGGAAAAGTGGGTGACAGAATAATAAAACCTCATTAAATGTCTTGAAGTACAATTTAAAAACTATCCCCCCTACACCGGCATTCAACGATATATAGCAAAGTACATGATGCACAAGAAATAATAAAGGCTATGTTTACCAGTACACACTCCTGACACAATTGCAAATTCTCCATATGTACTTATTTAGCACACATTTATTCTGTTCAAAAATCCCTAGACCTACTGTATTTATCTTCTTAGTAAGACAAGATTCATTTTTGCTTCTCTGCAGCACTAGGTATGTCTCTGCTTCTGACTCCAGTTCCTGTCTGGAGCTCTGTTGCTTTACATGGATAGGCATGGGCAGGGAGAAGTTAGAAAGGACAGTTACATCCTAACTAATAACTGCAAGTGCTGTGATTGCCCAGTACTGTGACTTTTAAAACAGATATAAATGATATCAATGATGCCATCCAATGTAGTCTGAGAAGACATAGAAATATTAACATGGTCTGTCTTTAGCCGTTCTTTGGAAGAGCAAGGTTTAGAAAGAGCAAGGTTTGGAAGAGCAAGGTTCAGAAATAACAGCTGCTGGTATAAAAATTGCTTTTATGATTATTTTAATTGCATCTCCATCTGGTGATGAACACACACAGATATGAAATATTATTCAATCTGTTTTTTCCTTCGTTCTGCTCTGCTAGCTTTTTAAAAATTGCATTAGTTCCCTGCTCTCAATTAGCCTCTCTTGCAAAATCTAAAGCTCTCCTTCTGACTAAGAACTATGTTTCCCTTTGTTTTCTCTTACTTCTTTTGCAGACCATAATCTTTGCAAAGAACCAACCAAACAACAAAAAACCCACCAACAAACCAGTTTCATTACTAGCTCATTAGCAAGAATATCCTTTTGTTTTGTGACGCTTCTGGTTTAAAAAATTAAAAACATCAGCAGCAGAAGAAAACACTGAAGTTGTGCAATAACAGGAAAAAATCATAACAAGAATCTCTTTATTGCAGCACAATCTAGAGGCAAATTTTAGAATCTAGGGTCAAATGCTCTTAACAGAGGATGTAGAGAGGAAGAAACAGATCCTTTGTCTGGTTTTCTCCCAGTGTGGTGGCAGTTTCATTCATAGAAGTTACTGTATTATAGCCTAAGGCAAAACAAATAGCACCAAACTGTTGGTTCTTTGCAAATCCAACTTTCTAATCACTGACCTTGGCCTAGCAACATGCTATAACTTTGTCTTTCTTAGCTGCATTGGAATGGCTGGTTTGGCTTTCTGGGTACTACGCCATTTTTCAAACTTTTAGTATGTGAATGTGTCATAGGTTAACAGTGTGTTCATTCATCCAATTAATAAAAAAATCCTGGTAGCCATGATTGTCCAAGAACATAAAAGAAACAAAGACTGCAAGAGAGATTGCAGACTGGATGATATACTACAGAAAGACACAGAGATCAGAGAATGCTTTGAAACCAGAGAATCATACAAAGACCTCTGATGTATTTACAGAGACTTCTTTTAAGCTGCTTTTGGGGTGGTTTTTTTCCACAATAACGGACTTGGAACTCAACAGCTTAGCTTTTTCCAACTGCAATTGTTGGTCAAAGAAAAGATATTACTACCCTCTACGTGATGTCTGATTTTGCTAATTTGCATTATTTGGAGTGTTGTGAGTAATGCTTCAGGTGACCAATGCAATATAATCAGCTGTATCTGTCCTTAGTGACTATTATCCAAAATTAAATAACATGTGTAACTACTTTTTGTTTCTCAAGCTTCAAACCATCCTGCATCAGATCTATAGTAAGTAATTCTTCTTCCAAGTGTTTCAATTGATCCTGGAAACTCTCAGAACATTTTTCAGCTTTCCTGCTCCTCTCCAGAGCTTTGTGGTACAATCTGGTCTGATTTTCCAAAGCTTCAGTCAATTTAGCGATTTGGGTTTCAAGTTGAGATACCATCTAGGTAGCAAGCAAAAGAACAAAATATATGGAGTTAGGTGGGTGTGGAAATGCTAGAAAGATATTAAAGATGCACCATCAAATTACTAAAAATATGGTAAAATACTTATCTTTAAAATATATGCATTTACAAAGACAAAAAGAGAAAAATCTGTTGCAACTGCCAAGAGAAAATGGCAGAAGCGGTGACATGTGAAACATCCAAAACTGAACAGCAGAAACCATGTATGAGTCAAATGACTAAAAGGGACAGCTATTAAAAAAAACAATAAAAACTAATTAGACACAACATTTCCAAAGATGTGAGCACAGCAGCAATACCTGGTAGTGAGCTATCATTCTTTAAAACGAGCCCATAAAATCACTAGTCTACTAAGTAGCTGAGTAGAAAAAACAGATAAGTGATTGAGAAAATACATGCAGCACATAGGGGAGAATGTAGATATGGATAACTTAGCCTCAGGAGTGTTTCCCAATTGTTAACTGTAAAAGAGTGTTTAACTAAAAGATTTTGCTAAAACAAAAATATAGTAATAATAATTTCTGTTATCTAGCCAGAGCTCAAGGATAAAAGGATAAAATCTCATAACAAGCAACTAGACTAACAATCTTGAAAACATTTCTAGCTGTATACTGTTTACAACACCTACATATAATGTAATGGACTTTAAGTTGTAAACTACTTATAAATTAGATGCTTGAAAGCATCTGGTTACACTGTTGCTAAATACTGAAAGGCAGTTCTATCCCAAAAGTTGTTTGCTTCCCTCTAACTGTCATATAAATTATTTGGTTACACAATTAATTATATTGCATTTGTAACTCAGTGTTCAGACACTCATCTCCAAGCAGCCTCTTCATTTTAAGCATCTGGTTGGTTCCTGCTAATAAAGTGAACAATAGGCACACAAAGCTCCCATTAATTTTGTTGGCACTGAAAGGTTTCCAATTCAAACTGCAAATAAATATAAACAACAGTTTGCACCCAACCTGCCAAAAAACACTGAGAAATTAGTGCTGCTCATACAGCAGTAGAAAAAACTAAACAATAATAAAACTGCAAGAACCCACACACATATTTTATGCTTTTTGCATCAAAAATCACTCAGCAGGAAAAAAACAGTTTCAGTAACTTGTTCCCCCAGAGATGTGCTGCTGTTAGAGAACCCAGAGCCCCCACAGAGTGGCCCTGGGTGTAGCCCAGCTACAAAATACCTTTTGATTTAATGTGTGATAATAGTCCTCACTGACAAAATTAATAAATGCCCATGTAAGCAAGCAAGCGAGAAACCTCAGTGCAGTGTCAGGATACTGATATTGGTCAGACTGCATTCTGACTTCCTCCTGAGTTGTCCCTTCTCTACCTGTACATTCAAACACAGCTCTGCAAACACTACCAGCCAAAACGCCTCAAGCCAGAGCCAGCTGCCTTCCTTGTATGGTGAACAATGTTTAACTGTAAGTGTAAAAATACTTCTTTATTTTTAGATGCAGGTTTTGAGGATTATAGGGAAAAAAGTTGCCTGGGACAACTCATCAATTTTATCTGTTTTGAGAAAGAAGTCACTATTGTAGCAGCAAATCCATGCCATGCTTGTTCACAACCACATAGCCACTTTTGATGTCTGCCGGCACTGAAAGCAAATTTCAATATTTTAACGGAAAGACCATTCCAATTCTTTTCTTCCTAACAGCATCTATTATTAATTTAATTTCTAAAGTCTTCCTACTTAATAAAAAAAAGATGCTTTTCACCTATTACCTCAAATCAACTGACAACAAAATTAAAGGTTTCTGTAATTTCAAAACCTAAGCAGAAGGAACCAAAACTCTACCAGATGAAAAAAATGAAACAGGATCCAAAGAGAATAAATACACACATTGGGCAAGTGCAGTAGTTGCCGACTTACTATTTGTTTACTCTCCTCTTTACAATTTATTTCTCGAATTCTCTCCAAAATGGCCTTCTCAGATGGTTCAACTATTGCAGATCCACTGCTGAGCAGGGTAGCAATTTGTTCTTTAAAAGCCTCTAAAGAGCTCCAAGCAGTCCTGGCTTCTGCTCTGCTGCTCTTCAAGCTTCCATCTAACTCAGCAGAAGATTTCTTCAGACTGTGCAGTTCCCTCTTTGAGGTGTCCAAGGCTTTCTGGTTAACAGTCAGTTTATCTTGGAGGTTTCTGATCTCCATCTCTAAACTCTGTCTCTCTATTGTAGCGCTGTCAAGATCCTATAATGCGTGAAAAATTAAACAGGATTTTTTAAATCAGTTATAACCCCTCCTCACCATACACATATGAAGGAATAACTCAGATGCAGGTACAGCAGATAGAGAAACTAGGACCCATAATGCTCATATGGATTCAACATCAGGGTTTCATAGGAGAACTGCTATTGAAACTGATAAAAGGCCAGTCTGCAGTAATCACTCTATAGATTAACCTCTGGCAGTGGCCTGCAGGAAGGAATACATGCATAAAATTTGCAGGTTTAAAAAAAACATTTTTTAATTGTAAAACTATTGATATCTTATTTTTCCATTCAGATAATATGACCTGAAAAACAGTGAACAAGATGTAACACTAATAAAGCCAAAGTACTACAACTCAGATAGGAAAGGATAGGATAGGATAGCATATTTCAGTTGGAAGGGACCTGCAGTGGTGATCAACTCCAGATGCCTGAGCAATTCAGAGTTGACCAAAACAATAGACACAATCTGTCTGAAAATAGTGATAAGAGGTGATCTCTGAGATCAGCTTACTTAATGTGACAAAAATTCCTGAGATTATCTATACACATAAATGGGAAGTGAAGGACCAAGCAAAGGCTTGGTTGGGAAACAATGAAATATAGCCAGTACATACATATCTATATCAGTTATGTATAAAATACTGACCTAACAGGGCAAAGCAGACAGACAGAATTGTGTATTCTGACCCAGGATGCCAAAACAAACAAGAGAAAAATTAAAGAAAAATAACCATCTAAACATAAAGAGAAAGTAATCTCTTTCAGTCACCTTGTGAATCTCTTTCCCCACAATACCACTATCGAGTGCCTACATATTCATATACAAGAAAAATATTTGCAGTGAAACCAACTAAAAGAATAACAAAGACTAAATCTTCACTTCTCAAGGCATTATCTGATTGAAATGAACAAATGGGAAAGAATATTATTTCACACATGACACAAAATTATGACAGAGGACAGCATATTTACAGAGAGTGATTGAATTCCTCTGGAAGTCTCAGTGGTTAGTAGAGGCTCATTAAGTGGACTGATATGAGTTAAGATTGTGTACACTGGAATTAAAGAATTGTTTCTGGAGCAGTAATGAATATGGTGAGTACTCAAGGGTCTCTCAGGGTCTATGTGTGCTTGCTGTAGTCATTTGTATCAATAGAATATGTGCCAATCAAGGAGCACATCTGGGAGCATTTACATAGATCAGCAGGGAGGATGGACAAAAGAGGAGTTTGCAGAGCACCCTTAGAAAATATAAACATACGATTCTAAAAATAATTAAATTTTTAATAGCTTCAATATGGGAAACATGCAAAAACACAAACAAAACCAAAGCCTGTCATTTAGGACATTATTTGTTACTATAGTAATTGTACTAAATACTAAAGTAATTATAGAACTGTTTTAGAAACATGTTGGCATGATTCCTTGCCATTTTCTCTTTTTTATTCTAAACAAGTCCTATTAATAGGAAATTCCCACCTGTGCCCAGAATTACATTATGGTAATTATAGCAAAGAATAAAGAGTAATTTATTTCAATTACAGTTTTCAGCAGTGTGTATTTTTCCTTCCAGAAAGGCAGTGCTAAATTAGTTTGCCAGTACCAAGGATCTTATCTAATTACAATCTTGTTTAAATTGTGAACATCTGAAAACAAACACAGTCAAATCAAAAGATCAAGGTATAAAATAAGGAAGTGCAAGCCACTGGCTGGAAAGCTGCCCAGCAGAAAAGGACCTGGGTGTGCTCACTGAACGTGAACCTGCAGGTGCCCAGGTGGCCAGTGGCATTCTGGCCTGTATCAGAAATAGTGTGGCCAGCAAGACTACAGAAGTGATTCTCCCCCTGTACTCAGCACTGGTGAGGCCACACTTCGAATCCTGTGTCCAGTTCTGGGCCCCTCACTGCAAGAAAGACATTGAGGTGCTGGAGCATGTCCAGAGAAGGGCAATGGAGCTGGTGAAGGGTCTGGAGCACTAGTCTTGTGAGGAGCATCTGAGGGAGCTGGGGTTGCTTAGCCTGGAGAAAAGGAAGCTCAAGGGAGACCTTATCGCTCCCTACAACTGCCTAAAGAGGTTGTAGCCAGATGGGGTTTGGCCTCTTCTTCCAACTAACAAGCGATAGGACAAGAGGAAATGGCAGCCCCATAGTGCATCGGGGAGGTTTAGATTGGATATTAGGAAAAATTTCTTTACTAAAAGGGTTTTCAAGCACTGGAACAGGCTGCCCGGGGAAGAGGTGGAGTCCCCATCCCTGGAGGTATTTGAAAGACCTGTGGATGTGGCACTGAGGGACATGGTTAATGGTGAACTTGGCAGTGCTGGGTTAACAGTTGGACTCAATAATCTTAAAGGTCTTTTCCAACCTAAATAATTCTATGATTCTATAAATACCAGCACCTCAATCAGCATCAGGGTTTCAATACAGTAAGTCAACTACACATACATATAAAGAACCCACATTACATTAACAGTAATAAGAAGGCACAAAAGAGAATGCAGGTATTTTCTAGATGAATTCTTACACCACCTGCATCTCGTTACCACAGTTATACCATAAGGATTGTAAACTAGCTTGCTCTCAATCTTCTCTGATGATTCAACCTGAAAATATCTGTGATGCCTGCTGAAACCTGTCTCAAATATGTATTTTCTTAATGACATCGTATAAACAAAAAAGAAAAAAAAAATCCAGGTTCTGAGAAACTCATTCTTTTATTTGTCTGTTGGGACAAGAAAAACCTAAAATCATGTGCTTGTCTCTCCTGCAATCTAAGTATTTGGGTATATTTAAAATGGCTATTTTAGGTAGCTATGTTTCTCAAGTTTAATCAATTTCCTTAAATAATATTTTTATATTTTAATTAACTGCTTTTATACAGTCAATTTATTTTAATAAATACACATTGATTAGAAACTACTTAGGTAAATTTTATTCACTAACATAACAATACAAGACAATATTGAACACTGAAGAGTATTTTCTTGGTTAATTTTTGCACCAGAATATTTGTATTCATTAAAATTGCTTGATTATATTTCAAGTATGTTCTTTAAAGATTTTGCATGGCACACATCTTTACAAAACACGTTTAAAACAGCACTTCAGAGTGAAATCACAAGTATTTCCAGGTTGAATCATCAGCAAAGATGTGAAATAAAACAAGATAATCCCATTGTTGTTCATCAATGGCAATGCTGTATGAAGGGCAAATTATAATCTGGAAGAATATATGCATCCTTTTCTATACCTTAGATAAATACCACAGAGGAGTTTATTAAATATTAGAAAGAAACTTTGTTAGAACTAATAAGACATTTTCAAGGACCTACAGACACTCTCAAATAGCGTTATAATTCTGTAATTATGATTAGCATAATCAATAACCGCTGTCTGGACACACAGAAAGAAAGAACAGGTATTCTCATTCTTGAAATCTAGGGAGCATTTAAAAGTCATTTTTCATCAAATGCAAATGTGATATCCAGCACAGCCACAATAATGGTATGCACAATATTTACAGATTTTTAGGAGCAAACTCTTGCAATAGTCTGTCAGAAATGTGAGAAGTTCAGAATTCTAAAAGAACAGTAATACACTACAACAAAAATAGCTTCTTGACTTCATTTTTTTTACTTACATATTTTACTTATATACAGTTTCAAGACTGCATTGGGTTTTATTCTTTGCTGCTTGCTATTGTCATACAGTGAGACAGAGTTCACTTGCTAATGTTCCTTGAATTAAACCCAAATAACTGCAACCCATACGTATCAAACATGTTAAGAACATTTTGAATGTATTAACCTTAAAACATAACCAACTGGATTTCATTTTCTTCGTTAAGAATTTTGGAATATAGACAGCTTATCTCCTTCCAGGACATAAAGAAAAGCACCTGGTCAAGAGAAGGAGTTCACAGAAATCATAAGGAGCAGGAGTGGAAAACTACCTGGCAATTAAAACTGGCAATTATTCAGAGAGGTGGCAGGGAACAATGCAGTGTCTGACTCTTGCTAGAGATGACTGACAGACCAGTGTGATGGTCTCTATATGCTTAGAAAACATTTTAAGAGAAAACTGGCAGAAATGGGCTGCCATCTCACTGAAGATGGCCAAAATGTCTGGTCCTGAGAGCTTCGGGCACACACAGGCGTACTTGTATTCAACCTCTGCTGGGTAAACTCAGCTACAGGCAATTCCATTAATTAAGTTCAGAAAACAGCCCAGAAACACACAGCTGAGCATGAGTCTTCAGGCACAGGAACAGTATGGATTTCTGCTTTTCGCCTTTACAGGGGAACATTTTACAACATGTGCAACTCTGTTCATGTGCTTAAACTGTGCAGCAAAGTATATGATAAGGTCCAACTGAGTTTATGCTGCTGGTGCCCTCCCTGTAACCTACTAAGACACTCATCCACGCAACAGGGGATCCCATACATCACACTTTACATGTGAGGATTTAAGTATTTTTTGGTTTTTTTACTTACCTTTTCAATACTGAATTTCTTACTATGCTTTTGTGAACACAAAACCTTCAGACACAAACAGATTTACTCAGTGTCTGCTAACGTAAGTAGCTAAACTGAAAAAGCACTGGAGGAATCTTCAGCCTCCAGATAAGCCCTGATGGCAAACACTTCATTTGAAAGGCAATGCTAATAATTTAGAAAGACATTTCTGTAAAATTAGTTAAATAAAATATGTATTTGGCATATGCACAATAATGATAGGAAAATATTTTTTGTAAAACTAGCTCAACTTAGTAAATGCTTTGGCAGTCAGAGCAAACTTGCAAAACAAGTCACAAAGGAAGCCCTAATCTTGGTTTAAAACATCTCCTGATTCTGGTTTACTTAGTAAGTAAACTACACTCTGTTCTTCCTCACACACCTGTGTTTGAAATGAAGTATAAGAACAAAATGTTCTCAAAAAGGACCTGTTTAAGTTTTTGTGCAGGTTCTCCCTCAGTTCCACTAAGTCTTAGAAAATTTAACACAGCTTGGTAAGAACTATTTTCAGCAGTAAGTAAAATTTATGACCCTTGTGGTACTTAACATTTATCTTCCCCACAACAAATTCTTTCTTCTCCAGAGTACACTGCCAGCTATTTCTCATCTCCTAAGTATTTTGCTTACAACCAAATCAGAACACTATATCCTTTAAAGTGTACGGTGGCAGTCTTTTGTTCAGAAAAAAAAAAAGAATGCTGGGGGTGGGGAAAATGCTGTATTACATTTGAAAACTCACTTGCACAAGGTTGCCTTTATGCTTAAAATTTCTTCAAACTCAATTGCACACAACAGCTACATATCTGGCAGTCTAAATTTCATCCCTTATTTTCTTAAGTTCTGGCCATCAGCTTTAACCACACTGTTCCACCCGTGGGAAATTCTCATTATGGGCTGCTTCCTTTCCACAGTTACCACTCAAAGTACAAAGCAATGAGGAAAACTGCTACAGAAATATTCTTTGTTTGTCCATCATTTGAGATGTACAAACTCTTAATGGCAAGTTCTCCTGGAGCAATTAAATCTTTAAATCATGTACTCTTCCTTTCCAAATCATAGCTAGGTGAATTTGGTGAATACTCGATTTACAACTTAACTTACATTTCTCATTTGAGCATCTTTCCTGCTGCAGAGATTTCCTCTATGGCTCCCTAAGAGTAAAACAGTGCTTTTCTGCAAGAGCCATCCTACTGCCTACAACTTTTGGGGTATGAGCCAACAGTTATGAAATACAAATTTATAATGCAGTGAAAAGATAATCTAGGGTGTCTGGAAGCCAAGACACTTTACCTTCCATTCCTTAAGAGAAAGAATAGTGTCTTATCAATTCCTTTCAATTTCTCATTAGAATTTTTGAAGAAACTGAGTAAAAGAAATCTCAGAAAACTTGCAGTATCATATAAATGTTATTTAAAAGAGCATTTTTCATGTTGCATGCTTGTGCCTCAGATGTACTCATTAACTCTATGCACATTTGTTTATTTACATGTTTGTGTAAGCACAACAAAGGCTACAACAATACCAAGAAAGCAAAAGTAGAAATTTGCAAACAGCATTGGAAGACATCAAATCTGCATCAAATCTATTTTACAAAATGTTTTTGTTTCATCTCTATATATTCTGAAACTTTTAAAATGTTGAGAATAACCTCAGAAAAATGCCTTTTTTAGAAAAGACCCTAATTGACCTAAGTTTTTCAGAAGCATTTTTTCTCATACAATTCCTATTGAAAATTAATTTAAAATGTCAAGAAAACATTTGAAAACTAGGCAAACATACAAGTAATGCAATTATGTACCTTACTAAGTTTTTCCATGTCTTGATAGTATCCTGCCACCTTTTTTTGCTCCTTTGTCACTTCTGAAACTAGCCTCATGATAGTTTCTCTGCTAGCTTTAGACTCCATCTCATGGACATTCACAGCTTCTTGAAGAGCAGCAACCTGGTCTTTTAGTGTCAGATTTTCTTTACATATTTCAGAGACCTTGAGAAATAATTCAAGTATTAGTAGCTTCTAAAAAGCACTTAAAAATTACATATATTCACCCCCGTATACCTGCTCCTAATCATCCCAATAAAGAAATGGTATTCCTGGTGACCCCTATGTCAGATTTATAACTGCACTCTGCTACTCATTTATAAAAGAGTAGAAAGACAATTAAAATCACAGAATCGTATTTTTAACCATAAACCCCCACCTTAGTATAAAGTGGGTCATATTTACTCCAACACAAACTTTATGATCTATTAAGCAGGTGGAGAGCTACTGCTGCTGCATATCCGTGCTTGACATGAAGGTCAGAAAAAAGATCACGTAACTGCTTCATGTGAAAAGCAGACAATTTCAGCCTGGCTTTTTAAGATGTGTGCCTTTCATCTGGAACAAGAAAGCTGCAATTTATGCTCAAAACTTTTTAGGTAAAGGAGATTTGAGTTAGTAGCAGATATTTCATAAGTAATTCAAGGGCAGGGGCAAATACATGGTGTGCTGCCATTATGAGCTGCCAACACCTCGGAAAAAGGAGTCCTTTCCAGGAGTATTCTAGGGCTGTTTTGGTACGTTATGCTGTTTCCAATAACTGGAATTAATGAATGTGAGCACTTCAAAGAGTGAGTAAAAAACGTACCCTGATTCCTACTGGCAAGACATTTGTTAAGACTAAAACAGATCAATTCTGTCTTAAATAAAACCATAACATGGAAAAGAAGCTAAACAGATGTGCTAAGACCCAAGAAAAATGAGTTGCTAAGGTTTCCTAATGCACACAGTTTTCAGGACAATTAGATTTCCCAACTACATTTATTACTACATCGTTAAAAGACATCAACATAGATTTTTTAAAGTTCCAATTACCAATTACATTAATTTATTAAAGTATGAAAGAGTGCCTCTTGCATGACACCTAGCTAAATTTTGTTAGAGCACCTATTACAATTTCAATGTGCTTGCAATATTAGGTAATATTATGAGGGCAAGTACTTTAAGAAATCACTGTGATACATACCTATATAATCTTAATTTATTAAGACAGAACTCTTACAATGATGTGAACATAATGAAACAGAATTTCCCCAAATACCTCATGTACTCCAAAGAAAAATAGGGATATCAAAGGCTAGACAGAAGACAAGTAAAACGCATAAAATTAGACTAAAATGTCTTTCAACAGCATTGACAGAGGTTAAAAGAATATCCAAACAATTTTCCTATCCTAAATGGAAGCTTAGTTTTTGGAACTTCAGAAGTATTCTGAAGAGAAATAGTAGTGGTTTATGATTAAGTCTCAGAAACACCACCAAGTTATTTACAGCATTTTATTACAAGGCACAGTTAGGGTTGCTTTAGAGTATGCCATTTCAGATGTTTCTATTTAATGGTATGTCAGCCCAAGATAAGTGTAAAGATCTAGTGCCATATGTTTACACATCACCTAGTGACTCCCAGTGTTAATGTTTTCAGGAAAGCTTTCAACCAAGTATCTAATCAGGGCTGTACTCAGGAATTTGGGTGATAAAATATTTATGCCGATAAGAGCAGACTGAGTTCACTGAGGTCTATGAGTGTTCAGCACCTTTGAAAATTAGTCCAACATGAAAAAAAAAGTCTGTCTTAAATGACAGCACTGTCTGCAAACTATTATAAAACACAAAGATCTTCATCTTCATCACTTGCTTTATTTCTATGACAATCAAATATTTTTCTGTTAAATCGCTATAGAGAAACCCCTTGCTTCACATAATCACCTTCGACATTAAATGTTCTTCTGGTTTCTCTTTTTCTCTGATGTCTGTGTCCAAGAATCCAGAAAGCTGTGTAAGGAGCTCTTCATACTTCCTGCTGATTTTAGAAGCTTGAGTCATGTTTTCTTCACTGTTATTCCAATATTTACTAGTCAGACAGAAAAAAAATACACACACCAGGATGAATGTTCTCTGAAAAAGAATTCAAGGCAAAATACATTATCCCAAGACTATTGCTAGCTTCTGCACACCAGCAAATGAATTTTAAAAGTTACATTTAATTTTCTATGGTCTGTTATTTAATACATATAACTTTTGTTGTTCCCTTGTGCAAACATTTATCTTTGCTTTTGATTGGCACTTCAAAGAATCTTCTGTGATCCCAACCTCATTCTCAGCACAAGATTTCAATAAAACACAAGAATCAGGTGACAATAAGTAGTACCCTCAAGACACTAGCAGTAGAAAGTGCAACCAAAAGCTTAGAAAAGGTAAGGGGGGGGAAGGGAGTAATCAACTTTGAGTAAAACTATGCTGAAAGCACTCCACATCTCCCCTCTAAAGAAGCTGACAGTGCTGATCAACAAACTCCAAGGAAAGAGAAGCCTCTCTGGACTAACAGAAGTGCAGGACATCCAGAGTACCTTGTGAAGGGAAATTTACCAACAGAAGCAGAGATGGGAGACACTACTTTGCTACACAGTCTTCTGCAGTGCAGCACTATCAGTGAAATGGATGGATTAAACCAGAAAATATCTAGGGACTAACACAAAGGTTTGAAGAAAAAGCAGCTTTTTGCCATCAATTTCATAACTTTGAACAGGTGCTTATCGTGTGAATACATATTCCAGCCTTAACTGCAGGTATCAGTTTGTAAACGGCGGATAAGAACAACCAACCAACTAAACTAGCAGTCATTTTAACTCATTAGTGTGGTTACATCACTTCCCTTGCCAGGGACAAAGACAAGTCCAACAAACAAGAACCACCACAATCTGCATAGGTAGCTAACAGATAAAAATCTTGCTCATGATGCTTATGAAAAACATAAGCTTGCTCACATCACTTATGAAAAACTACAAGGAATGAGATTAACAAAAACAGCCAACCAAACAAAGCTCAAAATGACCATTAGTGTAATCCAAAAAACAACTCCAATACCTCTCAGATAACACAAGAGAGGTACTTAGTGGTAGAGTGGAAGACAAGCTATTACGCTTCCAGTTGAAAAACAAGGTACTTTCTAAAGCCAGTTCTTCACACTAGAAGAAACCAAGACATGAGATACAATCAAACAGTATCTAAAGCAAATATTTTATTGAAACTCATTTGCTTATTAGAGTATAGCACCATTCTCAGCTTTCAAGGTGGGCATGGTAGTCATTTCTGGACTCATTCTTTTCCATTTCTGATTTATGTTAGAATATGGTATAAGATTGACCACCAATCCCACAACTGTTCTGTGGCTCTAAAAAAATGAGGCATCCACACACAGAACCACGTCTGCTTCTAAAAATAAAAAATCTGAAGTACAAAGCACGTACTTGATAACTCTACGAATAACCTAATTACCTCCAGTAGGGCCATAAAGGTGTGAGCACCCAGAAAATAGGCAATCAGGTACAAAAAAAAGTAGAACACAGCTTTTTCACAGCTTTGCTAGCTCTTTAGAACTAATGAGCAAAGAGGAGGAAGGAAAAGGAAGAAAAAAGCTTTTCACAGTTCACACTCTAAATATGCCATGGCAATAGATCTGTTGAGTAAAAAAAGCACCATTTTCAACAGGAGAGGTGCACATCCTGGAAGCCAATCACAGAATTCATCAAACATTTCTTACTCATCCCCAGGTACAGAATGCAAATATGCATTTCCTACATACTGGCTCTTCCATTTCATTAGCGATTTTCAGTGAAAATCTTTTTGAATACCTAATTAGGACTAGTCATGTGCCACGTACTACCAAGGTGGTTAGACTAAGTGACTGAAGCTCAGTAAGTCAGTACATTGGTTAGTATTAAGTGACACATTGTAACCATTAGCTGGGGTTGAGAAAAAACTTGGAAAGCAAACACTGCACATTCATGACCAATCCAACACGTTTGTTTCCTCCAAATGAGCAGACTCAATCTCCCGTTACCCCTTCCCTTTTGCCAGAAGTCCAGTGGTCCACTCCAGGTGCACAGTGAATCAGATCTGGGATCGGTAGAGCTGGAAATCAATATTTTATTTTGCTCACTTCTCTCTTGGAGCAGTCACCTGGTCCTGATCACCATGCAGCAACACAAAGAGAACTGATGACACAAGTCTCATGGGCCAAAGAGAGAAGCCAGGACTGCTCTGGGAGTGACAGTAGAGATTTATGCCCATAAAATTGATCATATCACTGTAATGACAGGCTAGTATGATACACAATATTTCAGCAGTTTTCTCCCAGTGAGTTAGGCAAATGGGATAGTGGGGTTTTCTTCCCTTTTTTCTTCTTTTTTTTTCCCCACCAGAAATAGCATTTTAAAGAATCTTTATAGTTATTATGTCAGAGATTGATGCTTTTTATGTTGCTAGGATGCATAATACACTTCTCGACTTAACTATATCCTCACTTCTACTGGGATCCTATCTAATATCTTTGGTAATCAACATAAGCACTCTCTAGGCAGAACTTTTGGCAAATCAGCTGGTAATAAACAAATGCACTGCAATGGTTTTCTCTAGATTTTAAAATAACTTAGTTATTCACTTCTCACACACAAAGCCTGGCAGAGCTGTGCAAAATACTATTTCGGGAAATAGAGACATCTGGTAAACACTCACCTTGCTCTTAACTAGACAGTATTGAGAGAATCATGAATATTAGCCTGCCAGTGGGTGGAAAAATCCATTACAAAAGTCTACAAGGTGTCTATTAACATGACTGATACTGATTTTCGAATTTTAGTGTTCAGAATATTTTCACAGCAATCAACTTGATTTGTGATCAACATTGCTATCAGTGTCCCTCCCACAGAAATAGGAGCAATTATGTAGAACTGACAGATCAGTGCTCTGATACACTATGCTAAGAACAGTATAGTTAAAAGACACTGTCTTTTATTATCAGGTTTATGCACATTAAAAAAGTAAACAAAACAAGACCACACAGCAACATCCAAAAGAAAGCAGAAGCAATGTCAGAGAAAGCTAACATTACTGAAAGCTGTACAAACATTAACCAAACATTAACATGTTCCTTTCAAGATGCTACTAACTAGGAATTATACCATATTTCCTTTATTAGACTGCTCCTAACAGACAGCTTTACACTAAGAAAGAAATTCACTTGATGCTGTTCTGGTTCCAGCTGTGACAGAGAAGAGGGGAAAACAGTTTGGGGTGGTGCAGGAGCAGAGTCACTCACCACTGCATAGTCTATGCAGTATGCCCATGGTAAATGTCTGTAAAAGATGGCACGTAATAAGGACAGACCAGGGCACCAGTCTGTACAAAGTCTGCCTCAGTGCCACACGTGGAAATAACTTGAATGAGGAAAGCATACGTATAACTTCTACTGTGTTTAGAGTAACAGCCCTCTGTGCTTCTTTTTTTGTAAACAATGAGGTTACACCAAGCTGACTTATATCATTTCACCTTTGAAGGACAAAACACTCAAAATCCTATTTATGGGCTAACAACTCAAAACAAAATTCAAATTTCAACACCTTCCACACACTCAGGTACAACAGTTTTGCAAGGCATTGTAACAGAATTTAGAACTGAAATAAAGATTGTCCACCAATATATTTTTCTGCATTGACAATTGCACCATTCTGTCATCCCAAACAAAAATTAATTCTCATCTTACATGACTCTTACTTAAGTTTGGTATTTTGATTGTGCAGCTCCTCCTTCAGCTCCCAGTTTTCCTTATATGCCACCTGAGCTGTCAGCTCAGCCTGGTTTTTAGAAGTGGCGAGCACACACAGCTCTTCCTCCATCTCCTGGATTCGTGTTTGCAAAGACAGGAGGCGAGACTTCTGTCTAGCATTGTTTTCCTTGTAGCTTTCAGCTTCAGCCTTCACCTCTTGAAAAGAAGCTTCTTTAGAGATTATGCTGGACCTGAGTTCAAGAAGCTATGGACAGAATAAGAGAAAATTAATGGAGAATAATTTGCCCATGCTCGAGGGAGGTGATTATCCTGCTCTACTCTGCACTAGCACAACTTCACCTTGAATACTGTGTGCAGTTTGGGGCACCACAATATAAGAAAGATATTAAGCTCTTAGAGACTGTCCAGAGGAGGGCAATAAGGCTGGTGAAGGGCCTTGAGGGGAAGCTGTATGACAAGCAGCTGAAGTCACTTGGTCTGTTCAGCCTGGAGGAGACTGAAGGGAGACCTCATTGCACTCTACAACTTCTCTGTGAGGGGAAGAGGAGGGGCAGGCACTGATCTCTTCTCTGTGGTGACCAGTGACAAGACCCAAGGGAATGGCCTGAAGCTGTGTCAGAGGAGGTTTAGGTTGGGTATGAGAAAAAGATTCTTCACCCAGAGGGTGGCTGGGCACTGGAACAGGTTCCCCAGGGAGATGGTCACAGCACCAAGACTGACAGCGTTCGAGAAGCGTTTGGATGATACTCCTGGGCACATGGTGTGACTCTTGGGAATGGGCCTGTGCAGGGCCAGGAGTTGGATTCAATGATCTTTGTGGGTCCCTTCAAACTCAGCATATTCTGTGATTCTGTGAAATAACGTGACTGTACTACAAGCTTAGTAATGTGACAAAAAAACCACTTTTCTACCACTACAAGACTGAGTGGAGGGATACAACTTTACTTTCATATAACTACGAAAAAGTAATAGAAGAGGTTTTTAAGAACAAAAGCTACTGTGGGGTAACACAATACAATTTTTCACGATAATATCTTACAGAAAGATAAGTTTATTTCATAATTCAAAATTTAGGAAGAGTTTACCTTAAGTTCTGCTGTACAACCTTGTCTTGCATGCATCTGCTTTACAATAAAATTATTAACACCACTATTCCCTCTTTTTTGCCTGCTACTTGCCTGCTTCCATTTCTGGTGCACAATTCCACAGAAAATTTAAAGCTGCAGGAAGCTGTAACAGCAAAGTACCCTGTTGTATGGGTACAGAGCCTCTTCATAATTTGTGAAATATTCAGAGGCAAGTAAATCTTTGGAACGTTGTGCGGTAGGCAACCTCTTCTCATCTTATGTAAATCGCTATTTTTTGGTCTGATAATCCAATTCAATGCAGTTTTTTGGCTTTCCTCTCTCTTTTAGTTAAAAATACAATTTTCCATTGAACTATCTCTGCTACAGGCTTCTGGAGGAGACTGAGCTTGAGGTAGACACACCAGGCAAATAAAATTTCCTTGCAATTTTGTTAAAAGGAATCACAAGAAGCATTAAGGTATGTTTCAGATCTCCTGACAATTCCAATTAAAAGCAGCAAGATGCAATCCAAAGCATTCCTCTCCTATTACATAAAATTAACAGGCAAATAATCAAGCCACATTAACTGCTCTTTATGAAGACTGGTAGGGCTTTTAACTTGTGGCAAACATTTTAAGGCAAAAATATTTAGGACATTAAACTGCGATTCAGGACAAGGTAAAATTCGCTGCTCTGCCAGAGTTTTCCAGTGTGACCAAACCCAAGAATATTCAGAGAAATTCAAGAGGCTGGTGAGCCAACTGAACAGCAACTGCCTTGGAAAAGAGAGGTCCTGCTTCTCCTGCTTCCAGCCACACATGCCTGTCCTCTACCTTGCACCAACTCTGCATTTGTCTGACTCCTCCACAAACAACTTAAATAACAGCTGTCAGAAAAGAATTCACTTTTCCTCTCACAGGGGAGAAAGAGGAAGTGGAGCTGGCCACATCACAGAGAAAAGGCTAACACTGAGAAATCAGGTAGGAGAATCACCCTTGCAGCAGCAGCACAACTTTCAATAAGCTTATGCTTCACATGCAAGTGCTGGTTTATCAGACACCTTGGAGCTGACATAAAGCAGCACTGACTTTAAGAAAAGCAGCTTGGCCTTTTCCCAGGTTCATGGGCTTCATTTCCATACTCCACCCTGTTCTTTGTGCTAGCAGAAGCACTAATATGGCTACGAGGTGAAATAAGATTGGGAAACTGATCTGGCTAAAACACAACTCGAAAGGAATGATTTTTTCAATTGCATTGACAAAACAGTGCACCGTAAAAACTACACATACATCTGTGCCGGCACAAGGGGTGGGGCAGTGTGGGGAAGGAAATGAGCAGCTAAAGGAACAATAGAATTGCTTTGCTTGGCAGCTGGACCAAACTCTGGTATCTTAGAGTGTTCATAACCTTAAAATTTCTCTGTGGTTCAACTCCCCATATGATATTTTTTTCCTCTGTCCATTGTCTTTGTGGTCAGTTCCAATAGTAGAAAAAGCAAGAATAATCCCATATCATGAGTTTTACAGAGCACTCAGCAGGACAAGGCTCTGACCTCAGCTGGGTCATGAAGGTCTTTATTAACAAGAGCATGAACAGCTGCTTTCTTGACTATTCTTTTGCTTTTGCAAGCGCAGTCTTGAAAGAATCTATAAATCATTCAGCCGTTCTGGCAATAAAGTCATTCAACATTTCCAATAATAAATTCTTCGTATGAGAACATGAGATTCTGTATGGCTTTTTAAAATTGAAATTTAAAGCACTGATCCTGGATGGATGTTAAACGTAGGGGAACTCTGCAGTCATTTCAGGATCAACTCATCAAATTAAAGCTCAGCCAATGGACACTTATTCCTGTAGTTCTGTCTGGATACTGTAAATATATGTAAATAAACATAAGCATTTCATGTCTTCTAAAGGCAAATTTTACTCCATTTTAAAACTGACCACTGACCACACTGCTGACTTTGACTGATCAAATCAACTTTAGTCAGTCATACATTAAAAAAAAAAAAATATTTGTGGAAATATCCTGTAATAAAACCTCTCCTGAGAAGCACCGTCTAGACAGCAGGAAGAGCTGCAAAGTATGTGTATGTGTTCTTCAGCCTTTCTAGTTACAATCAACCTCATTAGTACAAACAAAATTTCACTGATGATGAAAGCAAAGCAAATTTGTGGAGCTGTGATTTGAATAAAGAGGAGAAATGGGTAAAGATGGGCAGCCATATTTTAACTCATCAGCAACAACAGGAGGACATCTATCAGAACTTTTACACAACCACAATTTAAAAATACTAACTTTCAGGTTTAAAATAAAAAGATTGAATTTAGATGACAATGATAAAAAGCTAGACTGCTTCAAATCTTTCAAACAGAAACTCACAATTAGCTCTTGATCACAGAAGGAAGCAAAGTAAAAATCACACAGAAATTCTAAAAACAAAAATGTTCCAAAAAACCAAAAGTTTGTTGCAAAAGCAAGTTTTGGAATTTCTGCAAGCTTTCTATTCTCTGTATAAAGTATCCCCAAAGAATTTTCAGGCTTAGAGAAGGATTTGAAATGCTTTTAAATGTACCTCTGACTCGGCACAATCATACTTCACTGAAAGTGCTGCAAGTTCACTTTGAGCAGCTTCAGCTGCAGCTCGATAGTGATTCATCTGCTCTCTAGTGACAGGAATATCCAAAAGAACGTGATCATGAGATTCCTGTGAAGACAGTATGAAAACAAAACCATTGGAGATTGCACTTTTGAACATTTTTACTGCAGTGCTTTTTTGTTTGATAAAGCACATTTTTCCGAATACACTATTCCCAGAGTAGCACGCCCTTACTGAAAAATAGGTTAAACAGTCACTTTTCTACCACTCACTACTTTAATCTGGAAGTTCAGCCACGAACATCAGTGCTAAAGTATAATAGCCTGTAAGATATTCCCCCTCAACAATCCCATGGCCTTCCACTGCTTTCAGCTCTGGCTATTTCCAGCAGTTTCTATGTATTTGGCAACATTCAAAAGGTCCCTCTTCGACAAGCCTATCCAGTCGCTCTTTTAACACACTTTAACCCAACAGGAGTCCTCAGATGTATCTTACGCAAAGAACCACTTTGGTTTTTAGACTTCAGTTCCATTGCTTGTCCCCTCATTTTTATTTTGGAAGAATTGTAGAAAAAAAAAGCAGTGGTTACCAATCTTCTCTGTGCCAGTCATGATTTTGCCGATTTCTATCACATCTCACCTCCACAGTCTCCCTACCAGGTTGAAGAGTCCATGTCTACTCAGATACTTGTATCTGCCCCTCCAAGTCACTTTTTGGCTTGCCATTTGTTCTTTTACTTCTAAGCTGTCAAGGCTAAAGGTCCTTTTAAACTTCATCACTAGGATACAACTTCAGCCTTCTGACTGATGTGTTCTCATCCCCAGCAATCACCATGATAACTTCTTTTCATTCTTTTTCAAGTTCTGATTCTATAGCAAGCACTGCCTCTGTTTCTAGCACAGTCTCCTTCACACCACTTGCACAACTCTTTCAGCTGTGCCCTTTAGATTCTACAGTAGGCTTTCTCCTTTTTGCACTTCTCTGCTCTATTCTAGAGTAGAGCAGGAATGCACTGGATTTCTTGGCCTTTATTACTTAAGTCTTTCAAGAAGAAAATTCTGACCTGAGGTCTTGACATGAGTTTTATTAGATGGAACCTTTTTTTCAATTGATAGTAACTATAAAATGATGAAACGCAACCTCTTCAGAACACAACTAAGCTTAAGTTATGCTGGGAGCACACATGGCATAGGATCAAATGTGATATTTTTAATCCATCAGCTCTCACACAGGACTGCAATCCTCATGCATTTGGGTATGCATTTCAAAATGCATATCTCCTCCAGCTAATAACTGTTGTTGGAACAAGGCATCCCAATAGGGACAGAGACAAGGTGTCTTCCTTTCACGCTTTTCTACATCAGCATCAGTTTCCAGGCTGAGATAAATTACAAGTGCAGCTCCTACCCATCCTAAACAGAAAAAAAAATTAACGGTGAGTAAAATAAATCTCTACCAAGAAACACAAAAAGAAATCCCTGGAGAATAAGGCAAAACTACTAGTTAAGGCTGCAACAGAAGATAAATCACCTTGGATTAGTTGCTATAATATTGCCAACTCTTTGTTTTCATCTTTCTTCAATGCGCTAGTAGATGCTGGATTAGACCCATCAAGTTTAATTGCATTCATCTTCCCCAGAGACACTCAGCTGTGCTCTTTCATGAAGGAGTTGCCACTTTCACCAAACCAGTCAGATACATGGAGTAAGCTCACAGCCACGTACAACACAATCTCCAAGATAAAAGGGCTGCTAATGTTCTCAACACCTTATCACCCTCCTGAGGGAGTCAGGAAAGGCATGTGCCACCTCCTTGGTACTTTGTCTTCCTTTTGCTCCACTCCACTTATTTCACACTGTACAACCACATGAAATTCTTTGATGTAGAGAGTGTTTTTTCATTCTGTAATACACCAGGGCTCCACAACCACAGATGGAGCTTGCAAACAGTAACGCTGCATGCCGTTTATGCATGTTATTATATTTGTAGTACTGTATTAACGTAGATTTTCTTTTTCTTCCCTAAACAAACACAGCCACTTATGACTTCACAGAAGGAAGGAATACATCTCAAAACTGATAAAATAAAAACATTTCAGAGCATTGATGAAGAAAGAAGCCCCCATTCGGCAGCAACAACCAATGTAACAGCTTTGCAGCTGCAACTTCCAAAATCTGTGTTTTTCATACAAATCTAGATTTTAAAATGATGAGCACTTTAAAGATCCAGATACACATCCAAAACGATTAAAAAAAAGAGGTTAAAATGAAGCCAGGTGCAAAAGTCAATGGGAATTACCATTTCACTCATCTACAGTGTTAGTGAGATTTACAGTGGCAGATCTCTGCATCCTCCAGTGCCTTAGCACATATGAAGCTAACCACACGTAGTAGCATCACACTAGGAAAGTTAGCATTACCATCACACTTTTGGCAGGAAATGTGCATGCTTTAGTATTAATACTTTTCTATGTTTCTATGCTTTGCCATCAGTCAGTCACAAGTCTGATCTTTAATAAGACCTATCAGACAACTCAATTAACTTGGCATGACTCTACTGTAGGGATAAAATTTGTAATGGGGATGCGGCACTTTTATATCTCTGGAAAAATTCAGATTTGTGATCTTTCACAAGTACTCTGTAGCCTATACTGATTACTGTTAATAAAACAGAATTAATAAAGTGTTAAAAGAATAAGAGGCAGTAGACAGGAGAAGCTTTAATACACTACCACTCAATCCACTCTAAATAATCTAGGTTTTGGGTGGTTCTCCCATTCACATTATTAACTTTTCTGATCCCTTTCCACTTACCTGCAAGAAAATGAAGTTTTCATTTAACATCAAATGCTAAACAGAAGCTAAACGTATATTTAGAATACGTAAGAGCAGTATCTACTCGGACCTTTGGCTTTGTTAGCAATAAATGTTCTTTAGAAAATCAACAATATATGGTCATTGTTGTTATTGTTGCCCAGTTTTGTTTTGATTTTTTACCAAATAACCACCTTCACCTCCCTGGAAGCCAGCTTTTAGTTGGCAAACTCCATTTGATTAAGAAACAATGAAACTTCAACAACATTCAGTAGTTTTACACCTATCCGTGTACTTCGAAATCAGCCAACTTCTCAAGTCACTCACTCCCATTCTGCTTTTGGCAGCTTTTATTTCCTGAAGTGTTTCTTATTTCAGCCCTAGCAAATGCTGCTACCGCTGCCATTGCCCGCACACATTCTCTCTACCCCTTTGCCAAAGCATATATTTAAAAATGTCTTTAAAGAAACAGAAAGCCCCCCATAAGCCTTTAAGCACCACTGCTACCCTGAGTGACTTGTCAATGCACTGCCTCTTGCCCACAGCAGATGGACACTCCTCAGGGCAGGGATTTCTTCTTCCCATTCCCAAAGCAACTAATCACATTGGGGTTGACATACCAAAAATGATGGCTCGCGAACCTTTGTTGAATCCATTCTTCCTTTGCTTCTACAGAACAAATGGGGGGGAAGGGGAAGAAAGGTTGAAAATTAAATAGATTTGCAATATGATGGCACATGACATTGATTTTTAACAGGCTTGCTATACTAAACTTTTTCATAGGTTACCATCAGAAAAGTTGGGCATAAAAGCAGAACACCATGGAAAAGTTTCTCTAGTAGCTGTGTGCACTTTGATGGCCTCCACAATATTCAAACACACACTTAACTAAAACAGACACCTTCACTTTGACTTCTCAAGGTCACATTCACCAGTTCAGCTACACAGTCAGCCTTTGTGCAGCGATCGCTTCCTTTGCCACTGCTTTTCACGTGCTCCAAGTTTTATTTCATCTCTCCTTTTGTCCTGCATGTCTTCTACACTGACATATTTCAAAATTAAAAAAAAAACCTGAGCAATTACACATGATCTAACTTAACTGACTGGACACAGTGCAATATTCAACAATTTCTATAATTCCCAGTGTCATAACCGTTCATATTCTGAAAACAAAGGAAATGACAAATCCTAAATCTGTAATATTTCTTCCCAAGACAAATGAATGCTCATGGGTGCATATGTGGATGAAAATTGTTCTAACTTCTGAAAACACAATTCAACAGTACAGTTGATTATTATGATTATTATTATTATTTGCCGCAACAAGTAAGAAGAAGACATCCAACATGAAGTACTGGGAAGAATGGGTAGTTGAAAAATTTCCACACAGAATTTATCTCCATAAGCAATCACAAAGAAATGTTAGTCCCCAAACTTGTTATTGGGTCTGTGGGAGGCTAAGGTGCTCTCCAGGACAAGAGGAACCAGGAGGAATTCATTCTGTATGGGCTGAACTGCTGAAAAAGGGATCTTGAATATTGTTTTGATACCCACTATTCTATCTACAGCTAGAAACCTAGTTTTAAAAATTTGTTGCCATCCACAACCTAACTAGCTTAAATTTCTGAATAAATTGATCTAAAAAGAAAATTCTACTTCAGCATGCAGCAAATACATAATTTTTTTTTTTTTGAAAAATAATCTATCCTACTATAAAAACAAGTTTTAGAATACATTTCTTTTCATAAAATTTACAGGATAAAAAGCAAATCTTATTTTAATAAGTAACATGAAAATCAGGCACTGGACAATTTTTAGAGATTAATTTCTGAGTGAAATGCAGGGAAGGCAGGCAGCACTTGGCTGCAGCAGATTTTTTTTGGTAGCAGCAGCTAGCCATCCATCCAGCATGCACATTGCTTCAGAAAAGCCACAGCAGCTACACACACCAATGAGCATGAGAGGGGTAAGACACTATTACACAGTGGCTCAGATTTTGTTAACACACGCGAAAACATATTACAATTAATTGGAGTCACTTCAAGGGAAAAAAAGTTCACAAATTAAATACCTTGTATGTATATTTTGGGTAATGTTGACTTCTTTATAGATAATATTTTGCCTAATTTGCCTGTCAGGAATCTCAAAATGTTTGTGCTGATAATGACTTATTAACATAAATCAAAATTTGCAAATAATATTTCACAACTATTTCCATTCTGTCAGTTGCTCTTGCACACCTTAAAATGCCAGAAATAACCAATTACTTTTGATCACTTCCTGCTTAGTAAAGTCTTATTTCCCCTTGCCGATTTCTCCTTGTAACTACACCCAATTCACTGCTTGCATTTTGTGTAATTCTGAAAAGTTCTTTTCTTGTTATTGTTATATGTCTGTGAAGTTTTTCTGCATTAGTGTACTGTTCCAGAAGCGTGTAAAACTAAATGTTCCCAGCAGTTCAGATAAATTACCAAAGAGATTTTCTAAATTCCTTTCAGAAGGCTACTGCTGAAGTCTACTCTCCTCCCTTTGCAGTAATCATTGAAAGGTATTACTGAAGACAAAAATCACCCTCTGGTGTTCCTCTACTTAAGAGGCCAATTTCAAGCTTGATTAACGGGCCCAAATGAAAGTTTCATCACAATAAAAATTTTAGTCTTACCCACTACTACTACAAGCAGCAGTTAAAGCATTTTCATCTTACATTTTTCTCTCTGTTAAGATGAGATGACTTTCCCTTTATACATAATAAATGCCTTTAAAATGATGAAAGACAGCACTCATCTCAAAGCAACTACAGAGACACATCACCTACTCTAAGCACTGCTTAACATGTTTTCTGAGTTACTTCATCTTTTGTCTGCATGAATAAATTAAGTAATATGGCACTCCCCTGACACTTTCACTCACAGCTTTTCCAAAATTATTAACAAAAAGCTGCTGTGTTTATTTCCAAAACAATAAAAAGGGTAATTGCTAAGATAAAATTAAGTGCTTGTGCAGGAATTTGTGCAAACAACTTGTTCTGCTTTTGCTTTGTCAGTGTTGAATAAATAACTTCTGTAACAGAATAATCTATACGCAAGATTTAAAAACCAGACCCTCTTGCAATGCCAACACTTGCAATTTTCCTACAATGCCTATTATACAGCAATCAAGAAAACAAATATTTTAGAAATATTTAAGTGTGCTGGTATATACACAATTAAAGACTGATTAGTGCTGTAGTTTGATTTACCAGTTGTAACCCACATTTCATAAATACATAGTTTCTAAGGTGCTTCTGAGTCCCAAAAGCAACATTCACAAACTATTTGACTTCAGATAGGTAGAACAGTAACAGTAAGCAGTGCTAACAAAAACTTTGTAATCGGGTCATAACAGTTGTATTTAGTATAATGGCAGTTGTTTGCCACCACAAACTACCAGAATTCTGTATTTTTCTGTCTCAGAGCAACATAGCTTCATTACAAAAGTGATGTTCAACTGTTAAGGAGGTACCAAGCTGTTCACACAAAAATAATTTTTTTTTATCTTTTGCAATACAAAGCTGTTACAAGTTTTCTACTATATCTTTAGTACAAAAGAGTTTGATCCTTCTAAGCAATATTCTCTCCCTTAAATTCACATCAAAGCCAGCAAACCAGTTTCAAAGGAAGAAGAGATGCAAAGAAGAAATTCTTAGATAACTACTATAAATTCCTACTCCGTGAAAGCTACTCCCTTCTGCAACACTTAGTATGAAAAATCTTTTTGGCCTTGAGTGTATAAAGATAAGCTGTAATGATCAGGTGAAGTTCATTGAGCTTCAACTGCACCACACGTGGATCACTGGGTACAGCTCTGCACCTGCAGAAGTTGTGGTTTGGGGGTTTGGTTTTTTGAGGCAAAAGTGGTTGGGTTGTTTGGGTTTTCTTTTGGGGGGGGGCGGGTAGAAGGGGGGGTGTTTGAAAGGCAAAATTAAATTGAAAATTGAAAAAATGACTTGCAAAGGGGGGGTTACAACGAGCCTCAGGGTCAGTCAGCCTCCACAGCAACACCGACAGAAGCTACTGAAGAGTGAGGGGAGAACGGGGCATTTTTCCAAAACCAGGGCTTTATTTTCTAACAGGGGAATAAATAAAAAACAAACAAACAAAAAAACCCAACAACAAAACAACAACCACCCACCCCACCCCCCCTAAAAAAAAAAACCCCAAACAAACCACAAAACCCCTACCCACGCCAAGCCCCTCTGCCCTTTCTGCCTTGCCCCCTGTCCCTCTGTCACGGCGGTACCTGCGCTGCTGCCCGGGCCAGCCCGCCGAGCCTCCCCTGCCGGCCCTCACGGCCGCCGCCATCCCCCTGGCAACGCGTCCCGGGAAAGGACGGAGGGGGCACCGCGGTGGGGCCCGCGGCGAGGGAACGGGGGAAAGTGCTCGGTGTGCGAAGGCGAAGAGACTTCACGAAGAGATGCTCACAGAAACGTGGGGGGTTTTGTTGTTTGGTTTTGCTGGGTTTTTTTCACTTCAAATAAACATTACCTGAGGAAATTGGCTCAAATTTTTCCTCAAAAAAGTCAAAAGAGGCGATCAGAGCAGACGGCACTTGAGCAGCAGCTGCTGTTCCTCGGGCAGGCTTTCCTTCTCCCCTCAGAACCTGGAAACGAGCACCTCCGCAGCCCGGGGACAGCAGCCTTCCCTGATGAACGCTAAAGTACCTGCAGCTGAAAGAGCACCTCCTCCTCTTCCTCCTCACCTTTCACCCAAATAAAGGGGATAAACATGGGAGGAGAGAAATTGAAGATAGCAGTAAAAGAAAATTAAACCTGCGGGTGCATCGAGGCTGCACATAATTTTCTCTGAAGACCCTGTCAGCTGTTTAGCCAGCTCATCCCCGTGCCTCTGGGTACAGTGCCATCTTACACCATTTCTGTACTCACAAGTCAAAAACTGCCTCACCTTTCCTAGGAATGCTGACTTAATCATGTTTTCCAGAAAACAAAATGGAAAAGCTAGGGATAGTACTCTTTTTTTTTTTTTTTTTTTGTCCTCGTCTCTATGTGGCTGAAGCCTTTTCACTGCTGCTGCCAAGGACAGAGAAGACCCCTACCCAAGCAGAGGGGTGCTAGCATGGGCCATCACCCTATTTAAATGGCTGCACTGCTTAAATCGCAGAGGTATACAATGCCATCCCTCAGGTGGATTCTGCCACTAAACTCATAAAGGATGGGAGAAAAATAACTTAATGTGAGGAAGGAGTGCTGGGAACAGGTCAAGGGAAATGGAGACCCACATGGGGCTGAGGCTGTGCAGCACAGGCAGCCGCAGTGGCCTCCATCTTTCTAAGTGTTAGGGGAAAGACACAATTGCTGTCGGTTCGTGGGGTGGTGACAGCTCCTTTGGTGGTGGCATGTTTCCAGTTCATCCTCAGGGGTGAAGGGTGAGCTAACAGCCACACAGGATGGCATAGGGGCACGAAAATGTTTCACGAACCCCGCTGTTGTTACTGTACACAAATGCTGGTGCTGTAGCAGAGGAGTGAAACCCGGTAAGGCACTTCTGAATCAAGATTATCCAGTGCTGATAGAGCAGATGGGGGTGCAGAGAAGCAGCAAAGCTGCTACCACCACATGGTGCAAAATGTTGCTCCAGGGTAACCTCATTCTGCATCTATTAAGTATTTTTAACTGGTTAAATTTGTGCTTGTGCTCTTACATAAACCCAGCATAAATCTGGCACAAGTTTTACTATTCACTGCAAATTTGAATAAAAATATCATCCTAGATTTGCCCAGCATTTGACTACAGCCTAAACTGTCCTATTACTGGAGCAGCATGCAGATGCAGAATGAAATGATTGTGAAACTTTTTCCTAACTTGCCTAAGCATGTGCTTGAGCACACTTCCCCATCACTAGTCCTGCAGTGCCACGGCTGGTTCAAGAGCTATACTTCAGCCACTTATACAGCTGTATCTTACCATAGATCTATGAAGTTATTTGGCTTTAAAAAAGCATGCTGAATCTGATGAACTGCAGCAAGAGTAACAATAAAAGAGGCAAGAAAAAAAAATTACGTAGAAATTTCATGTAACACTCCAAAAAAGAATGGGGCAGTTTGAGGCCCCATTTGACTAAGAAAAAAGTATGTTACTACACAATGCTCACACTTAAAAGTGCTTTACCCTTGTGCTAATATTTACAAGTAGAGTTCTCAAAAGGACTCCATATCTCTTAACAGGGACAGGAAATAATGACTTAGAAAGGGTTACTTCAGACTTTT